TTGTCAAGTAGAGGTTGTCGACGTATTTGCATAGATGCGAGAGGGAGGCAACAAATCTGCTTCAACACGATCCCCGACCCTCTTCTTTGAGCATGACAAAGCGACGAAATTGGAGATGCGATCAGAGTAAACCCTAACAAAGAAAAACTTATCGAAATTATACACACACACACACACACACGGATACAATGCGTGGGAGGGCCCAAACATGACACCCTGCCCTCACAAAACCATAAATGGTTCCAAAATTAAAAAAAAATAGAAAAATACATTAGATACTTAAATAAAAAACCTAACAGTGCCGAAATACATATTATCAAGTGGCTAGAGAGCGACCCAATTTGGACTTGCCTCTGCCTCTAGTTCTAGGGTAGGAGCAAGCAAATAAGCTGGTAAAATGATTATCATTGCCAGTAGTAACCAATGTATCATCCAATATGTTCCCGAGCTGGAGCGGCCTTCATTCTTCTTCTTTTTCCTGGAATAGACATGTCATTCCTCTTCCGAAGAATCAGTCTAATGGGGTGGTAGAGCTGAAACAATAGGTTCTAGTATATGTGAAGTATGAGTTGCCTCTACACCGGAAACTTCTTGAAGAAGTGGAGCTACGAGGCTCTCCTTATTATCGGTCTAACACTATCATTTGTAGGTAATAGTCCATCAGTATTATTTTCTATGAGGTTTGAAGGTGTTAGCATCACATTACTGTAGTAACAGTAACAACAGTGCCATGGGGGGTTCCTCAGGGGCAACAAACACCTCCTATTTGGTAATATCCTCCCCAAGTGGAACTAAAATGTCAAGAGCAGTGGGATTAGACCCATCCTTATTCACTTGAACCGTAGATTTCAAATTTGGATGAAATTTGTGGCATTTATCAAGGACATGACCAAACATCTTACAGTGGGTACAATATAGGAGCTTGTGCTCCATGACGATTTGTTGCCAATAACCATTATGGGTTGTGCCCAGCCAAACTTCAGTAACATCAGGTAAGGTAATGTCTCTTTCCATAAATATACTGGCCACTGAGGGTCTGGTTAGGTTGAAAGTAGACAGATCATCTAGCTTCAAAGAATCCCAAAGGATGACCCCAATAGAGTAAAGAACCTGATGGTGAAAAAAATGTAGCTTGAGATCAGGTAAACTAAACCATACTGGTACAGTGGAATTTTCATGATTTTGGTCAAAATTCGGAGACCACTTGAGTAGCTACATAGGTTTACCAGCAATGTTAAGATATTTTTTGGAGAAAATCAGAGTGCGGTCTTCAAGCACGGTTAACTGAATCAAAACATGTCTCATCCACGAGCCCCACTTTCCACTTTCTTGTTAATTTGAGGTCATCAAAACTTTTCCTGATAACCTCCACAGGTGGGCGTCCCCACTGAAATTTCCCAATTAGAGCATACTTAAATTTGTCAGTCAGGGTTGAAATTTCTGACTCAACAAAAAAGAGTGTTGTCTTCCCACTTTTCATGCTTGCATTCTTAATAAAAGGACAGTCATCTGTACTATCACGACTCTCCTTATAACTTGAGGGGAACACAACCGACGTCTCCCCTGGGTATTACCCACAACGTGGGCAAAGGAGGTTTTGACAGTTTCAATCAAAGAAGAAGGAAGCTCCATCAGAGCAAGGAGAAGCCCTACAAGTCGGGCAGAGAGCCGAAGAGGTCGGTCGCTATGCAGAAGATAATAAACCGCAGACAGGAACCGCAGATGAGCTCGAGAGTCGAAACCTTAGTTCAACAAAAGCCGCGCAGAAGAACAGCGGTGAGAGACAACGCCGTAGAAGCAAGAAACAGAGCCGCGTAGCGCGATAGACCCTACAACGAGCAGCGACACAGGCGCAACTCGACGAATCGGACAACGGAAACAGAGGAGTGTGCCCCTTCTACGAGCGTGGAATTACAACAACAGAGGCTAGGGTTCGCCGTGAGGCGAAACCCTAGCAGAGCCTGACGAAAGGCGAGGACGACGAAGGAAAAACGTATGCATATATATATATATATATATATATATTATGGAAAAGCTCCAAAGAAAAAGACTATCATCATCAAATACCATGTGTTCCAAGAACCCCGAAAGCACTACAAATGATGAAGACATGGCCCCATTGAAGCACAACTCCTCACTACCATCTATTAAAGTCTTAGCTCTGTGACAAAAGTAAAAAATAAACAAATGAATCAAATTTAAGATGTTACGATTGCAGGCCCTGACACAAGTCCAAGCTTTCGAAAGCAAAAAATTTATCGATCCACAAAAATCACCTACTGACTTTAGTAACAATGTAATGGCCTTTCTCCAAGCCGTATATAGTTTTCAACTGTGGTTTACACAATCTTAGAATCACCCAAATTATAAAGCTCAGGAGTGAGAGTAGCAGGATAATGCCAAGCAACGTGAAAAAATAGTCACGTGACAGAGAAGCAGTCCAACCCATACGCTACATTGTGTTCATGATGAAGGCACCGATATAAATAAATAAATATATATATATATATATATATATATTTGATATATTAAAGGTAAAGATACAGTTAGGTTTGTATGGGTGGGCCTAAACACCTAAACCACACGGTACAACACACATCAAAAAATGTAAAAGATGGGTACATATAGAAATAAAAAAAACCCAAAAACCACCCGGGCGCTGAAAAAGTGTGGGTCATCCCAATCTAGTCTTGCCTCTGGCTCTAGTTCTCGGTAGGGATACAACTAGTAGATTGGTAAGGTGCTGACCATTCCCCGTAGTAACCAAAGTATCATCCATAAGACTCGTGAGCTCTAGTAGATTTCCATTCTTCTTCCTGGAAGTGTAAACCTGTCTTTCCTTCGAAGAATCCGCCTGATGGGGTAGAGCTGAACCAGAAGGAACAGTAGTACCCACAATAGATTCTACAATATGAGAAGTGTGAGTTGTCGCTACACCGGTTACTTCTTGAAGAAGTGGAGCTGCGAGGTTCTCCTGATTATCAGTCTGAACACTATCATTTATAGACAGTAGTCCATTAGAATTGTTTTGTATGGAGTTTGTAGGTGTCAACATCGCATTACTCGCAGTAACAGTTAATAACAGTGTCATGGGAGGGGTCCTCAGGTGCAACAGACACCTTCTGTCTGGTAGTATCCTCCTCAGGTGGAACTAAAATGTCCACAATAGTGGGTTAAACCCATCCTTATTCACTTGAACCTTAGATTTCAAATTAGGATGAAATTTGTGGCATTTAGCAAGAATATGACCAAACATCTTACAATGGGTACAATATGGGGGTTTGTGCTTAGTGATGATTTGTTGACAACAACCATTATGGGTTGTGCTCAGCCAGACTTCAGTAACATCAGATAAAGTAATATCCTTTTCCACAAGTATTCTGGTCACTGAGGATTTAATTAAGTTGAAAGTGGGCAGATCTAGTTTCAAAGGATCCCCAAAGATTGCCCCAATAGAGTATAGAACCTGATGGTGAAAAAAATGAAGCTTGAGACCAGTTAAACTAAACCATACTGGTACAGTGGGAGTTCCATGATTTGGGTCGAAATTAGGAGACTACTTGAGTAACTTCATTGATTTGTCTTTGATATTAAGATATTTCTTTGAGAAAATTCTGGTGTAATCTTCAGTCACTGTTAGTTGGATCAACACATGTCTTCTATCCATGAGTCTCACTTTCCACTTGCCTACTAGCTTAAGATCATCAACACTCTTCCTGATAACCTCCATAGGAGGGTGCCCCCACTGAAATTTTCCAATGAGCAAACTTGAATTTTTCCGTTAGGGTAGAAATTTCTAATTCAGAGAAAAATATTGCTTTTTTTTCACATTTCCTGCTTCCCTTTTTAATAAAAGAACAATCATCTGTACCCTCACGAGATTCCTTATAACTTGAGGGGAATCCCACTACGGACTCCACCTGAGGGTTACCCACCACGTGAGCAAATAAAACTTTGTCCGGCTCAACAAAACAAGAAGAAGACGCCATCAGAGTAAGGAGAGCTGTCGGAGTTGAGCTACAGCGAAGTTGCTGCGGTAGGAACGATGAGAAGCTTTACGAGCAGACACGAACGCAAAGCAAATAAAATTTATATTTATCTAAATTGCGATATGATATTAACAAATAAAATTTATGATTTTAAATCTAATATCGTAGTGGAAGATTTTGAGGGTTGGGGAAGCGAGATATATAAAGAGAAATCTATGGGAAACACATACCCAATATTCTACATTATCCCATCGCAAACCCAGTCTCCTTTTAACTAAAGAGAAAACCCTCAAGGACAATTACAAAAAAAAAACAAATAAATAATATCTCAAAATAGAAGAATCAAGTAATTTTTAAAAAAATTAAACAGTTCTTCAAACATAGAAAGTACAAATAATCTCATTATTGATGTTGAATAAAAGTTCAGATAAGACAACAGTCACCTTTTGTTCATACTTATTCTCAATCTCTTATCTCTAAATATCCCGGTTTATGCTCTACAACAGATTAGTCTCTTCTCAAGAAGATCGGACTTCAAAATATATCATAATCTTTGCTTCCACTATCGGCTTTCAACTTCAAGAAACCAACAAGTGGCATGTCCCATCCATTGCTATCATACTTCTTGCAAGACATCCTAGTCAATTCGTGAACACCATCGTTGTGTCTTTATCCATATATATCCTTATTGTAGAATTCAGTTTCACATAAATTCTTGTACACATCCTTATTGGGATCTAATAACATAATTTTTTAAAATAAGAAAAAATAAAGCTCTCAGCTTGCCTGAACAAAATTATCAAATAAAAAGCTAGTCAAGTTGATACAAATATAAAAGTTTAACATGTAGACTACAAAATACGAGTGGAATAGTAATTTCATGCATTCTTCCATTGCCAGTTATAATAGTAAATGTAAGCTGGTTTGGGATAGAGCAACAACGGGCAAAACTTGAACCACATGAGCGTAGACACTACATAAATTCAACCAACAAAAACATTATGTACTCACCTGATGCGCATCATTAAATGACCTTGTAGCATAAGAATTTGAGGAAGGCAACCACTGAGGACAGCTGACCCAACCATCAGATGGATTGTATTTTTCTGTTTCAAAGATTTCATCCATATGAATTCTGCTATAATCAGCACCATCGTTCCCTTCCACATTTTCAACATCCAAAAATTCTGAGTTGTCAGTATAACATTTTGATTTAAGACGGAGATCAATGGAAAAATTGGTGTTATTAATAGCAGAAACCAAGGTCCTTATGCTCACATATCTGTTACCATCTTTCACAGATAATTCGCTGGCAACAACTTCATTGCCCAATCTCCAACAAGCTGCAGGGGAAGCATAATTTAACCTCACAGTTGTCCATGGTCCTTCTCTTGTAGGACTAATTTGTATTAATCCAACTCTTCTCCCAGAATTTTGATCATGGTTGTCTTTATTAACATCATCTTGAATGGAAAGTAGCAAAGCACATTTTATTCTTCCATGCACTTCCCCATGGGCGTTATCATGAAAATCCTGACACATAAGATCAATTACAACTAATCAACTAAATGTTCTTGATAATCAAAATGAGATTAAAAGCTCATAGATGGATACTTCACCATCTTTTTAGCGGAAGACAGATCCCTCCATGATAAATCAAAGCAAGTGTTGTTCGAACTGGACTTAGGATGAATCTCATGAGCTATCTGCTTTAAAAGGGCAGAATATATCCCTATGGGCTCACCTGACAGATATTACACAAGTAAAGACGTGTTGAAAAAAACAATACAGGCACATGATAAAGTTTGATGTTTGGGTGCACATTCTAAATACCTCTTCCCATGTCAATGACAATGAATTCCATCCCATAATCATCCTGCAGAGATTGGATTATTAAGTTACAAAAAGCAATTCCGAACAGAGTTAACAATTAAGCTTAACATAACTAGACAAATCCCAAAAAATGAAGGTTACTCGTTGTCAGTCAAAGAACAATGTTAGGAGAAAGATTAGCAGAATATTAGAAGCAAAAAAGCTTCAAGAAAATGGTGCAATTCATTATCTCATACCGCAAAATAGGTAATTGCTTTTCATGCTATGTCACAGAAACTTTCTCTGAAAGAATTGAAACTGTTCAATGCATATGACAGATTATTAAAAACAAAGCCCCATGTTCATGAAACATTAATTAAGGAAATACTTGCCTCTTTAAAGAATTATTACGATGCGGGAAAGGCCTGAACAATGTCAATGCCAAGACTTGATACAGAAGTAACCCGAGAATAAACAAATACAAAATTGCTGAAATTTAGAAAGAAACGTAACAAGAGTTCATAAAACTAGAAATAATATAACTCGAATACAAACGGACTCTAGGGTGAGGGCGAAGCTGGTGAGCACCAGCTGGACAAGATGTGTGAGGATGGCTTGAGAAGCTATGGCAGCAAGTGAAGGTAGGGAGGCTGTGACGGCAAAGAAGATGCAGGAGGGGGCACTAGATGGCCTCGGCAACAGCAGGACAGGCGCGGGCTGAGTTTGACGGCAGCAAAGAAGAAGCAGGAAAGCTGGTCTGCAGCAGGAGAAGGTGCACAAAGGCAGGCAGGCAGCAGGAAAGGAGTACGGCGAAGCACCACTTGTCCTAAGATATAACCCTAACAAGAAAGGAGATGTTTGATGGCAGAAACTCTGAAATCATAACAAACAAAGCTCAACCCTAAAATATTTAAACAGCAAAAAAATTGTGCCAAAAAAAAAAAAAAAAAAAAAAGGGGGGGGCAGTATTTCCTGCTCCATGAAACATTTGTCCAGTCCAGCCTCTTGTGGGACCGAAATACCTACTGAACTGGTTGAGACGGTTCAGCCAGGTCAAGCCCAACATAAGTCTCCCGGGGTTCAGGAGCTTTGACTTCATCCATTGAAGCCTCCGAACCTTTGTAAGACAATATGAGATCTGCGACATTGAATGTGGCATAAAAATTATAGTCCTCTAACAAGTAGATCTTATAGGCATTATCATTCAACTTTTGAAGTATTTTGAAAGGCTCGCACACTTTGACTTGAGTTTTTTGAATGCTCCTACTGAGAATCTCTCTTTCTTTAGCCAGGTCCACAATAGATCTACTTCCTCAAGGGTCACTTTTTCAACGTTTTGTTCACTTGTGCTTGGTATTTGCTAGTCTGCTTAGTGATCTCTTTTCCGAATTCCTCATGGAGCTTCTGAATCTTATGCACACGTTCATCAGCATCCTCGCTGATCCCTGACATCAACAATAGCAAATACCAATTCGATTGAGGTGAGATAGTTGCACCTGTATACGATCTCAAATGGGTGATGCAACATGTAGTTTGACTCATGGATCTGTTACATGTAAAATATGCTTGAGCAAGAATCAAATGCCACTACTCGATATTTTCCCAATGAAGCATCTTAGTAGACTTCCAAGACTCTTGTTTGTTAAATCCATCTGACCATCTGTAAGGAGATGCGTTGTTGAACTGAATTGAAGTTTAGTGCATGGCCTTTCCCACAAAGTCCTCCAAAAGTGACTGAGAAACCTAACATCATTGTCTTAAGTGATGATTTTGGATATCCCATGCAGTCTCACAATCTCCCTAAAATAAAAGTCAGAGGCATTAAGGTTGTCAAAATGGCTCGTTCCAGAGCAGCTTGTGTTCGGCTCGTTCCAGAGCAGCTTTTGTTCAGCTCGTTAAGAAACTCGTGTTCGATTACTTCGCTAAGTTTCGGTAAGTTAACGAGCTGAAACACGAATAATTTTTTTTGGGCTCGATATATATACAAGCCGAACACGAACAAAGATTTGTTCGTTCGTGTTCGGCTCGTTTTGGGTCAAAATACTACTCATCAATTGAAAAGCCCAAGGGCTGATTTTATTGAAATAGAAAAGATACATAAAGATTATATGAGAGGACCCCATAGAGACACCCTATTCATACGATACCAATTATAATACTATCTCAACAAAATGTTACAGATAGACTCAAAAAATTAAACACATGCAAAAAACAAGTAGCTAGGGACGAGTCACTTCAGTCATGTCTTTTCCTCGAGTTTTAGGAGCGGGGCCAGATAACAAACTTTGAAGTGTCGTGTCATTGTCAGGAGTAACCAAAGTATCTTCCATTAAATTTCCAAGTTGGAGTGTGCCCCCAGCCTTCTTCTTTCGTCGAGAAGTGTAAACCTGTCATTCTTCATCTGAAGACAGACTCATGTGATCCTCGGTCTGATTGAATATTAGAACTGTAGTAGAAGGAAAGACAATCGTTGCCACAACGATAGGTTCCAGTGTATGTGAAGTGTGAATTGTCACTCATGCACCTGATGCTTCCTGAATAGGAGCTGCGGGGCTATACTGACTTTCAGTCTGAACCTCTGCACCTGATGCTTTCTGAATAGGAGCTGCGGGGTCATCCTGACTTTCGGTCCGAACATTATCCCTTATGGTATGGTCTGGAGAAGGGTTCCCAGGGGCTGTGGTGATTCCCTCCTCAGGTTGGCTGTCATCAAATTTACTGAAAGCGGCATGTTCCTGCTTTTGACTATTGGTTCTCAACTTTGAGTGCAATCTGAAATATTTCTCTTGCAGGTGTCTGAATATCTTGCAGTGCTTGCAGTAGTGAGGTTTTTTTCCATAATAATTTTTTGTCAATAACCATTGTGAACAGAGTCAAGTCAGACTTCCTCTACATCTGTAGTGTAATATTCCTTTCAATCAAAATCCTCGCAATAGAAGGTCTTGAGAAATGAACTGTAGGTGTGTCTACCTGCAAAGATTTTTCAAGGATAGCCCCAATTGTATAAAAGATAGATAAGTCAAACGATTGAAACTTGAGTTCAGGTAATGAGAACAAGATAGACAATAATGGGGACTCTTGACTGAGATCAAAATCATAGGTCAATTATAGCAATTTCATATGATTGCCATCGATTGTGATGATTTTTTTTTTGAGAAAATCCTTGTGAAATCTTCTTCGATACTCAGATGTCTCATAACATGTCTTCCGTCGAAAAGACTCACATGCCAAGCCCCAACTAGTTTGAATCTTCAAAAATCTTCCTGATAATTTTCATCTTAAGGCGACCTAATTGGAATTTTCCAACTAGTAAAAATTTGTATTTTCTTGCACGAGTTAAAATTTCAGCGACATAGAAGAATAGTGCTGGTTTGCCCGCTTTTCTCTCTACTTTTTTGATGAGATTGCAATCTCCATGACCTGCAACAGAATCATGGTACATCTGCGAGAACATCGGACTATCTGCAAGGTGAAAATGGGAGCTACATTTGTGAACCCCTGTAGCATCGGCGGATTTGGCGGGATTATCACCTTCAAGGGCGGTAGCTCAAAAAAGCCCTGAGGCCATTATCGTGCTTCAGACAAGCACTGCAGAGCACCTGGCGCGTGAAGGAACAAACGTTGAAGGAGGATTAGCGCTTCAGAGCACCTGACGCGTGAAAGAACAAGCGTTGAAGGAGGACTAGCGCTGCAGAGCACCTAGCGCGTGAAGGAACAAGCGTTGAAGGAGGACTAGTGATGCAGAGCACCTAGCGCGTGAAGGAAGGAGCAAACGCCGAGCACAGGACTGCTAAACGACGCACGAATAAGACACAGGTCGTACAAAATCACTTTTCCTGCGAGCACGACATGCCGCAGAGACCGAGCTTGACAAAACGCAAACCTTTCAACCTCAATACGACGAATCGTGGGCAGCCGCTTCCGGATGAAGACGAAGATGAAAGCCACGAAAACGATGAGAAAGATGAGCACGACGAAGAGAAATGCAGTGAAGTGGAAACCAGGGTTCTCGTCGTTTCCGCTCTTCTAGGGTCTCGCCACATGGTGAATGTTGACACCTGCTACGGTAAATTTCTGATCGTCGACTTAGGGTCTGTTTGGCGCAGCCGTTGATTATTCATAGATTATTCTGATAATCTGATAATTCAAGATAGCTTATTGGTGGTTAAATGACATTCATGCCCCTTTGTGATAAAACTGTTTGGGGCAGCTTATTCAGAATAGCTTATTGGTAGTACTGGAGCATATGCAGAAATATGAAATCATCACAGATCATAACTAAAAGATGTCATACATTTCTCACACCCTCATGAGTACTAAGAGAACTAAAAAAAGTACAAATACGAGTACAACTACAATCAGAAATATTAAAATGTTTAATTTCATACTCTGGCTACGTCTGGCCTCATCTGCACTGTCAAAGTGAGAAAATACCGGATTCCCATGACTGTCGGTCGTGTCATATGAGGGACTGTCAACCCACCGGAAGAACCCCCAACGAGCTGAAACTCCCTTGGCACAACCGTAGAACTGCCTCCCAAAGCTATGAGACTGACGCGACGTGAACAACGAAGCCGGTATTCCACAATAACACAAAATACCTCTGTCTGTAACTGATATCCTAGAAGTCATGTTTGTATAACTGTGAAAAAAAAAA